ACATAGTCCCTCCAGCGTGTCCTGGGTTTTCCCCGAGGCCGCCTCCCGGTGGGACATGCCTGGAACACCTCCCTAGGTGGGCGTCCAGGAGGCATCCGAAACAGATGCCCGAGCCACCTCAGCTGACTTCTCTCGATGTGGAGGAGCAGCGACTCTACTCCGAGCTCCTCAGAGCTGAGTCAGAGGTGTCAGAGCTCCTCACCCTATCCATAAGAGTGCGCCCTGCCACCCTTTGAAGGAAACTCTTTCTGCCGCTTGTATCCGAGATCTTGTCCTTTCGGTCATGATCCAAAGGTGAGAGTAGGAACGTAGATTGACCGGTAAATCGAGAGCTTTGCCTTTCGGCTCAGCTCCTTTACCACATCGGACCGGTACATCGACCGCATTACTGCTGCCGCTGCACCAATCTGCCTGTCAACCACACGTTCCATCCTTCCCTCACTCGTGAACAAAAGCCCGAGGTACTTAAACTCTTCCACCTGGGGTAAGGACTCTCCTCCAACCTGGAAATGGCAAACCACCTTTTTCCGGTGGAGCACCATGGCCTCGGACTTGGAGTTGCCGATTCTCATCCCAGCAGCGTCACACTCGGCAGCAAACCACCCCAGTGCATGCTTAAGGTCCATGTCTGATGAAGCCAACAGAACAACATCATCTGCGAATAACAGAGATGAAATCCTGTGTTCCCCAAACCGGACCCCCTCCAGCCCAAGGCTGCGCCTTGAAATTCTGTCCGTAAAAATTATGAATAGAATTGTGACAAGGGGCAACCCTGCCGGAGTCCAACATGCACTGGAAACAAGTCTGACTTATTGCCGGCAATGCGAACCAAACTCCTACTCTGTTCATACAGGGACAAGACGGCCCTCAACAGATTGCCTATTACCCCATACTCCCCGAGCACCCTCCACAGAATGCCGCGACTAAAAGCAGTTTAAAAAAAAAAAAAACATGTTAAGGTTAAAATTATTAGCCCCTTTAAACTATATTTAATTTAGTCTACAGAACAAACCATTTTTACACATTAACTTGCCTAATTACCCTAACCAATTTTATTAACCTAGTTAAGCCTTTAATGTCACTTTAAGCTGTATAGAAGTGTCTTGAAAAATATCTAGTCAAATGTTATTTATTGTCATCATGGCAAAGACAAAACAAATCAGTTGTTAAAACTATTATGTTGAGAGATGTGTTGAAAAAAAATCTTCTCTCCAATAAACTGAAATTCATTCATTCATTTTCTTTTCGGCTTAGTCCCCTTATTAATCTGGGGTCAACACAGTGGAATGAACCGCCAACTCATCCAACACGTTTTTACGCAGTGGATGCCCTTCTAACTGCAACCCATCTCTGGGAAACTAAACTGAAATTATTAGAAAAAAAACAGGGGGCTAACAATTCAGGGAGGCTAATAATTCTGACTTCAACTGTACATTTTACAATCGCACTGCAATGAAAATATACTACTTTGAATTTGTCCATGACAGGGTTTACACAATTTTAGGTTTGTTTATTGTTTGTATGCTTGCAGGTAATTTGTGAAAAATGCAGGAGCTTGACCAACAATCATTTTTTACAGCCTAAATGTAGTCAAATCAAAAATCTCAACTTTTTTTTTTTTTTAATTTTGATGTCTCAAAGACACTTTAAAGTGATAATGACCCAGCAGTTGATGTTAGTTAACTACACAAGTTAACATTACAATACTTATGTGGCACTCATTTATCTTGTTTACCTTTCATTTTAACATTATCAAATACAGATTTTGGTTTTAATTGCAGCAAAATTGTTATTATGCATAAACTCATAAAGAGTTCATTGTGGATTGAGTTCACGGTGTTCAATTAAAGATGAGGATGGAGAAAACTTATGATTTTGACTATAAAATAATTTTGTATATAATAAAGATACTTTTCAGACACATTTATATTACTTAAATAATACAGTAGCAATGTTTACCTATACTTAAATATATGCGTTACCAGTGGTAAAAACTATTCATTGTGTCTTTACTAAATACAACAATTTTCATCTTAAAATACAAATAAAACCTTTGAACAAATGGAATTTAATCCAAATGGATATGAGGGAGAGCTTACAACATGTTTTCTAGCATAAACTTGCTTCAGACAAATGAAAGACCAAACAAGAAGGCAACAAAAACTTTTATTTATAAAAGATGAATGACAACAGTTCACACAAACAGCTCGGCCATGTGGGAGTCGTCAACCATCATAACACTGATAAGAAAATCAATCATGCAAATGTTAGATTAGAGCCTGCGGGAAGACAAAGACATTTGATATGCAAATGTTTGAATACACCACTGAGTAAACAGTATAATACAAAGCTTTTTTCCTTCCATTTTTATTGTTTTAAAACATCTTTTTTCTAAGATTTATAAATCAAGTGCAGACTGAAGTATACCTTTAAATGCTATTGCTGACAGGGCAGTATTTTTTAGTGATTCAGCCAAGAGCTGGTTAATTCGCTGGAAAATTGTAATCGAACAGTTTATTGTGGGAGAGAAATGAGCTTTTACTTCCAGTCGCCTGTTCTAGCATCCATTTCATATAATCACAAATGCAAAAATACAATTAGAGTTTGAAGGCACCTTAAAGAGGATTTTTTTCAATACCCTGAAAGCTTCTTACACCATTTCAAATCTTTGTACTTGTTTTTGGCACCCCTACAACACATTTAAAGTGCCTGACGCCTATTTCAACAAACCCTTAATCTACGTCTCACACAATCCTTCAGGAGTAAAAGACCCATCGCAGCATATTCTCAGGCTTACCAATCGGTAACCATATTAATACAATACAAAACATTTCCTAAAATCAGTTACTCCATGAAACGGTTATTTTACAGCAATATGGGGAATTTTGATAATGAATATATTGCTTTTCTAATGAAATGCTGATGCCAATATTGATATTTTACATACCTCATTTCAAATGTGCAAATATGTGCTTGGACTATTAAAAGGATAGTTCAGATCAATGAAAATTACAGTTAATTTACTCAACCTCATGTCATCCAAGATGTACTGTATAGTTCATTAGATTTTTTCCTTTAGTAGGGCATAAAAAAGGTCTTTAGCTGAAACTGTGGTCCTTGGAGATTCAAAAATGCAAGTCATTGACTACTTTCACACAAAAAAACAAAAAAAAAAACATTCAAGCTAAATAAAATGAATACACTGAAGTTTTATAAAGTGAATGTGTGATGTTTGAGCACCACAGGACCCTTTGCCAAGACTGTGAATTAAAGTTAATTACTGTGTAAATAATGTGCAGTATCTTGCTCAAGTCCATTGTTTAGTTTCATAAAACCTCACTCATTTATTTATTCCTACATGCATTTTTTGACACTAAAAAGCACCTGTAGGCGTTGACTTGCATTTCTCGACCACAGTTACAGATACATTTTCCTTTTCTTTAAAGGAACACTCCCCATTGTTTTGGAAATGGCTAGAAACTCATTCAGGTGTAATAATCAAGACACAATAAGAATATATTTCCAAGCCATATTGACATGGAAAACAGCAACATTTCATGATCTTAGTACATAATGGAACTACATAAGAAGAGAAATAATCAACTCTATTTGTGAATTTTTGGAGCGAGATGCTCATGGTCTAATCTGATTCAATAACTTATGCTAAGCTAAGCTAAGTTAAGCTAAGCTAAACTAAAAGTGCTCCCACCAGACCTGTATATCAGCTGAATGGATTCAATAATTGTAAAACTCAATTGTTGGTAAAACTAAATTGTTTAACTCTAGGAAAGTTGTAAAATAAGCCTATTTGCAAAAAGAAAAAAAAAAGAAAAAAAGGGGTTCCTTTTATTTCAACTGAAATACAAATATAATCTTGAATGACCCGAGTATGAGTAAATTAAATTAACTACAAATTTTCACTTTTGGGTGAGTGATCCCTTTAATATAGTGTTTTTAAGAACTTGGAGTGAGTAAAAAAAAGTTGCAAATTCTGCGATAAAAATGGTGATATGAAACAATCTTTTGATAGTACTTCAAATCAACATTTGACAGTACTTTTTGTACTTGTACCTTAAAAGTTACGCGTTGTAATTGTATACGCAAAAAAGCAAAACATTTGATACCGAAGAACTCAATGTCAGATATACAGAAGACGATGATACAGGAAGTAGAATTAGCAAATGAAGGAGTCGAGAGTAAACAGTCAATAGTAAACAATCATCCTACTCAAAGTCACATTATGGCAAAATGCAGAGAAATCAAACCTGCACCATACTACATACTACGGACAAGTACTTGGATAGTATTGGTTATAACAGCGGTTTAAATGAAAACAAAGCTACTCGCAGGCCATTTGATCGCAAGACTAGAAACATGTTTCCACATCGCATGCATCCAATCTGGTCACCTGTAAGATTGTTTGTTCTGCAAAAACTAGGACAAGTTCGCATGATTTGTACCTTTTGAAGCAAGAAATCCACATTCACAGTTACAACGTCACATAACCAAACACTCACAAGTTCTGCAGATACGTAAAATGCTACAATTATCATAAGGCTGGCTATTGTAAAAATAATTAGATCGAATGAATGGCTGAAATCATCTTTCAAAATGTCTCAAGAATCAAACCTTTAAAGGACACGTTCAAGCAAAAATGTAACAATTTCTCAATCAAAACAACCCTCTTTTGGACCCCACATACTTCCATTAGATGGACAGAGTAAATTTTTGGTTGAACTTGCCTATTCAAGAAATTCCGTTGAAAAAGACCAACACAAAGTATCATAGTAACTTCGGTCAAACGGTTGGATCTCTTAAAACTCGACTATAAACTACGCCTAAGGTGTCATTTTTGCTAGTTCACAAACATTTGTCCAATAAACACTCATTTTGAATGAAAACTGTCCTCGACCTGGTGTCACACAGCTGTTTTTCCAATACAAAACCACATCACTTAAATTTCGTAGTAACCGCAAGATTGTTTAGTGTGTATATTTGTGTTCAAAAGGATGTCTTGCACGCTCTTAAAAATCCACGCCCACCTAAACGTCCTCATTCACTCTGTGCAAACTTTTCGCTGCTTAAAAAGGGGGTCGAGTAGACAAAAAACGCAGCGGAGCAATTTTGGCAGCACAACGGTAGGGTACTAAATACCAAGAGGGGGCTAGTAAACAAGTTCAGCTCTGCAGCAATATAGGGTCTTCCAGCTCGTAGAAAGGCGCCGAGCTACTCTGGCTCTCACCTGAGTCTGAATCGTACGGAGTTTCCGGCAGTTCCGCGAAGCTACACGCCATCTGATCGTCTTCAAAATCTGATCGCGGAGGCTCGTAGCAATCTGCGAATCCGTCCTCGTCGAAAGTGTTAAAGTCCTGTGGGATGTAAAGCATCTCCGGGTAGTTGCGGCTCACTAGGTCGCTACTGGTGGTGGGGGATACCTTGCGGAAAGCGATCAGGTGCATGTGGGAGAATTTGACGTACTTGTAGCGCTTGAATCCCAGAGACTCCACTGCAACTCGCCAGCTGCGCATCATGAGCGCGTGCCGGCCCTGGTGAGAGGAATCAGGGGTGATGATGAGGAGCAGGCCGTTCAGGGTCAGGAGTTCATGTGCTTTCTTGCAGCAGAGCCAGCGCTGGTAGGGGGAAGGAAAGTAGGAGAGAAGAAGAGAGAAGACTACTACATGAAATAACTCGGCAGGTAAAGCATCAATTGGGCCTCGTAACTGCCGCAAGAAAGCATCCAAGGCATCGCTGGCCAGCTGCAGAGGCTGCTGCAGCTGCAGGTTGAGAAAGTCACATTTGTAGACACTCTGAGATCATAAAAAGGAAAAACAGATGGAGAAGCAAAAGATTTAGAGCTGTGAGGGACAGAAGTAACACTTATTTTAACTGAATTTAAAAAGTATCATACAACTTTATGGAACACAAACCTCTACTGCGGGCACAATGTCAATACCGACAGTCAGAAACTCATCAAACTTTAGGAAAGGATTGAAACAGCTGCCCACATCCAAGAGTCGGATCCTCCCAAGCTGGAATGTTGAGCTGGTACTAAGTGCAAATAAGTAAAAAGGCTGATTTAGTAAAAAAGTTGCTATAAAGACATTGAATTTGTAGTTTTAAGGCCTTAAATGTACTCAAGGGAGCATTTTAATAAAACATAGTTAAAGGAACTCAGTTATAGGATTTAAAATGGTGTTTGGTTTAACAGTAGGGTTGGGTATCATTTGGGGATATTTCGCTAGCGCTGCTAAATCGATACTTTTAAAATGATAACAGTGCCAAAACTTTTTAGCCACAAAATTATTTGACAAAAAAATTTTAAAATAAATTTTATATATAATATTATATTTATATTATATATTTATATTATAAAATATGAATTGATGTTTACTTAAAACTTGTGTGTGTGTATGTTTGTGTGTATGTATGTATATATATATATATATACACACACACACACACACACGCACACGCACACGCACACGCACACGCATACACACACACACACACACACACACACACACACACACACACACACACACACACACACACACACACACACACACACACACACACACACACACACACACACACACACACACACACACACACACACAAGTTTTAAGTAAACATTAATTTATATTTTATATATTTGAATTGCATTAATATATTTCTTTTGATCATTTGTTTGTAAGCATGAATGCAAGATTTGCATTAAGCTATTAACATTACATTAGCTAACTACTAACCTGTGAAACGGCTGTCATCAAAATCAGGGAGCACCTTTTTTCTGGGTTTGGGGTTTGTGACTACTTTTACATGGACATCAGTGATCTAATGATTTGCCTTAATCTAAATGAGACAATAATATGATTAAGGCGTTTACATGAGTTGCTTTTTGAATGTTATATTCATGATTCTCAGTTGCATGTTACAGCACATAGATCCATCAACGTCATTGTGTCACCAGCCTAAAAATGTTTCCTCCGCAGTTTGTGTCTGGGGTCCTTTAAGATAATCAAAAATCACTGTTTACGTAGACTCGTGATCAGAGTCCTAATCATATTAAAATCAGAGTATTGGTGTCCATGTAAACGTACTCACTGAAAGTGCCAGATGATGTCACAAGCTGTCAAAGGCAGTCCATACTGTACCTCACCTTTAAGTTCATTCCATGAGCCCTCACATTTTTTAAGTTTGACGAGTTTCCCCTCTTACACGCAACTTTTGTAAAGCATCTGCTGCATGTTTGTGTGTCAGTATCCTTGCTTGTAAAATATAGCCATATTTTAGTATGCTTAGTTTAAGCAAATTAGATGTGCCATACTGCGCGCTTTGCCTTCTATAAGCAACCAGAACAAATGCCTGACATCACTGACATCGGTATCCCACAAAGCTGTTTAGAATTAAATATTTAGAGGTGGTGTGACACAATGCGTACTTATATGTGCCTTTGATGCACCCCTTGATGCTTAAGAGCGTCAAACAGCTGATGCGCCGCTCAGAGCTGCGGCACGCCACGCACATGACAGTTGATAGCATCACACACCAGACGTGCACATTCGCATGTTATTTAAAATCAAACTATTCGGATGTCGATGTGTGGCGCAGCAGAAATATGAACAGAGACTTGTGAATTCTAAAATGCATGGTGCTGTATGGCACATCACCAAACAGAACTTCTGGTGTGCAACCTGCTTTACGTTCTTGTCACAGCACCAGTGGCACCGGAATTAGGCACCACAATTTATATGCTGATTTGGTCTAGTGCATACAAGTTCTAAAGGTACCTATTTAACAGTGTTAAAGATTTCTTCAAAAGAATGAACTAAATTAAATAATTCCTTACAGAATCCTAATCTTTTTGGCTGCTAGTAATGGAAGCCTGCCGACAGAGGCATTAAGTGCAAATCAACAACTAAAGGGCGAAATGATTCAAGCTGTTTTTGTAAATATTTGTGATGGAGATGAAACATAGACCATAAAAGTATGTGAGCCCGTTCTCGCCATTAACAATAATAATAATAAAAAAATGTAAATAAAAACTAAACTAACATAAAAAATACAAATAAATAAATAAACATGATAAATAATAAAAAAGATAAAAGCGTGATAAACAATTAACAGTCGTGTTGCTTTACGTTGTGATTGCGTCTTCAACACTTCATTTACGGTCAGTCGCCATAACAGGAAACTATTGTTAAAACTCGCAATGCTGACTTTATAATTCGCAATGCTGACTTTATAATTCGCAATGCTGACTTTATACCAGGGAATTATGACTTTATCACTGAGAATTATGACTTTATAAATTGGAATTATGACTTTATAAATCAGAATTGCAATTTTATAACTCGCAATTCTGACTTTATAACTTAGAACTGCGACTTTATAACTCACAATAGTGACTTTATAAGTTGCAATTCTGACTTTCTAACTTGGAATTCTGACTTTATAACTCGTAATTCTAACGTTATAAATCGGATTTGCAACTTTACATCTCGGGATTCTGACTTTATAACTTTTACTTCTGACTTCATAATCTTTTAAATATTTTATTATAATTTTTTTTTGTCAGTGGCGGGAAAAGGAAAAGGGGTGGTTCCAGCTGTGTTGAGGTGGGAATGTCACGGTTAGTGTAAAAACTATTACAATGCAAACTCGCACACACTGTGGAAATGGAGTGCGATTCTGAGAACAATAGTATTTTTTCCCAACTGTCACTGTTAAAAATAATTAATTAAATAGATTATACAAAGACCATTTGTCTAAAAGTGTCGTACTGCACTTAATGCATAACTGCATAAAAAGTGGATTGTGTTTTATTGTTGCTCGGATACTGTATTAATATTATAGCAAACTTCTTAATAACTTTGTTCACTTTGTCAAAACAAAGTCTTAAAGTCTTCTAAAATTGAAAGAACCAACAGTTCGGACCATGTGTTAGCTCTGCTCACATCGAAATGAAACAGATTTTGTGTGTGTTGACAAACTTAGAAACAGAGCACTGACTAGTGCGCGGTGATTGAATCGAACCAGCTCTTTCTCATGAATTAATGTGCAGAAACACTGAAAACCTGACGACGTCACTAGTACTGGCAGCAATTCACCATGCAGAATTTACATTTACCACTTGGCCATGAAATTGCTTCGAAATGTATTCTTAAACTGTAAGGACAAATTTGCTCAAAACATTGCAAAATTAACAAATTTTCACTGAATAGTGAAATGGAGGGGTCCTAATATAGCTTTTATCAATGTGCCACACAATATCTCAAACAATGTGTTTTAGTGTTTCATGACCCTTTAAGCATTACTATTATAAAAGTCATTCATAGTTCTTGAACAGGTAGTTCCATTAAAAATTCTAGTAAATATTAAAAAGCTAGTGCGAAGACCCATGAGGTGGAAACGTTATATAGTGGTAAAATACCATGCAAGATATATATCTGTTTAGTCAAATACTGTATCGCAAACAGCCAAGACAGTTTTAATCTGGCAAGTAATCATGAAACCCAATGATGACAGCGAATGGAAACAAGTAGAAAAAAATAATATCCTGAAATATCCGTGCAAGAGTTTCGCTGTGAACAGAGTTATAGCTTCTTTTCTACCGATAAATATTCATTTTCCAATATAAATTCAGGCCTTTTGCTTAAATGTTTTAACTCATGGACATTTGACTTAATTGATTAATAAATTAATTTGATAATTTTCAACATTAAAGAAGGCGGAGGCTCAGAGCCACACCTATATATAAAAAATCATCATGGATACCTTAAAGAAGTTTAAGAGCTGAACTAAACTTGTATTTTATGCAAATATACTGTGGCCTTTTAACAGTGTCATTCTAGAGCACCTTATAGAGGACAGCTGCGGTGGAGCATTTGTATCGGTGTTTGCATTCCCAGCTGTGGCATGCCTAGCACTCTTCTCATCTTTCTCCAAGACTCGCCTCATCCCTCCATCCTGGAAATACTCCTGACAAACACTGAGAAAAAGCATAATTTAGCATCACTAACACTGCGAAACAGCAAAATTTAGCATCATTCAGTACAAAAAATTTGTTTTATCAACCTGCGGCACCACTCAATGCGTCCCTCTCCCTCGCATTTATTGGCCCAGTGGTTGTCAGCAAGATTCTTCATGGCCATGGCATATTCACTAAGAGTCTGCTCATCTTCACAATGCTCACGCCATATTTTATCGAAATCTCCCACTGCAGCCAAAGAGAAAAAAAAGGGCGTACCATCACATCAAGTGACTGATAATTCTTCAAAGCATAAATAGCAAACACTTCCACAAAACCTACTTTCTGAGGTCAAACACAAACCAACAGTTTGATTCTGAAACCGAAGCCTTGCAAAACACAGTCCGATTTCTTCAACAGCTTAGTTAAACTCCATTGCCAAGCTTAAAAGTACCGTATCATCAAAATGTTTGTGCTGATTCACTCACAGTTTCAAAAACTTGCTGATAATGACGATGACACCAAAAGGCGAGACAGCAAAACTGTTTGGGAGAGCAAGAACTGACAAAAAGTGAGCCGTCCCATGACAGAGTGGAAAATACAGGCCTTATCTGATTTACGGAGAATAAGACAAGAAGGGAAGAGACTGCAGCGCCGTTACATATGAATACTGCTGTACAATGCCAAGAAGACCAGATCACGCCTTCCTTATTAACCCATCACGGGGTCTAGTGAATAGACTACTGTGTGTGGGATTTATAGTGCTGCTCGTCCCTCTTGGGGGAAACCATGGAAGATTCAATATAGAGATTCTAAATCTAGAGAAACTGAACAAAACACACAAAAATCTGACTGTATAAATGTTTATTTTGCCCAACTTTGTGTGGGGAGAGCTGTTACTGGAAAAAAACTGATTACATAACTATCATTTACATTACCGAAAAATTATGTTTTTGATGATGAAGTCAAATAGCAGCTAATGAAGAGCGAGACGTAAATGCTAGGGTTGTGCAATTCATCTAAATTCAATAGCGATATCGAAATAGGCCTCCAACAATTATGAAAAAAAAAACTGTAGTCTACAGTCCAAAAGTCTGCACTTGCTCTTACCCAAAGCCCAATTTGACATGGAAATCAGTAAAATCATGCAACATGACTTGACATGCAGCATGGGAAACTGAAAATAATGTGTATTAGATTTATTCATTTTTTTAAAAGAAAATTTGTGGCGTTCTGTGTATGCACTTCATGAAGCTATGAAGTAAACTGACCCTGCTATAAATACCATGAAAGTTACCTCTGTTTTTGGAACCAAAAGTTGAGGTTATCAACTTCCATTATGGCTGGTTGATTAATCGAAAAGCAATCGAAATTGACATTCAGAACTTATAGTCATCTATTTTTATTTTTAAGTCAAAGGTAAGCAAAGCAGTTTGTAAGCAAGCGGAAAAACTATTTATTTTCTTTTTCTCTCAGAAAAATGAAAAAAATGATAAAAAATTAGGAATGATATGTTATACATTATAAATTTAGGATAGAAGATAAACACCTCCATCTCTCACAAATTTTAGCCATTTTGCAGTACCACAGCTGTATTTTTATAATTATTATTTTTTGTTTGTATAATAAGCTACACTACCTGCTTAATTTGAGTTTAACTTGTTAACAGAAAGGAAACGTAATTTTATTTGTGCTTACTGTTTGCTCAAGACAAAAATGAGAAAAATTTCTGAATGTTTAAAGCCAAATTTGAATAAATGTGTGAGCAAGTTAATATCTATTCAGTTCCTTTTTTAACTAACACTCACTGCATTTTAGCAGTAAAAAGCTACAATACAGATTATCGAGCTGAAGCTTGACTACAACATTAAATCGCAAATCGAAATCGCAATATCTGTCCAAAAATAATAATAAATAAAAATATTGCAATTAGATATTTTCCCCAAATCATACAGCCCTACTGCTGACTATGCAGAAAGAAGACATCACTTTTTTGTGCAAGAAACTGAACATTAAGTACATTATTACTTTTAATCCTCAACTCTGTCAAACTACAGTCTACAGCGCAAGTTTCCTGTCACACAAAATGGTTTGCGTGGTCTCAATATCACATGTGAGCCAACTCTCAGCACGACTTACGGGTATAGAAAGTCCAGGGTCTTGTTGGAGACAAGGTGGAACCTTAATGGCCAATCATTATCACATCTTCGGGCTTGTCCACAAATACAGCCCTTTTGGTATAAAACAGCAATTGAAATTGAAATTAAAAAGATAACTGGAGAAGATATGATTATTCATACTTTTTTTTATTATATCTTGAGAAAATGTCAGAAATTGTTCCAGGCAATAAGAAATAATTAATAAAAACACTTTTAGCAAGTAACAGAAAAGCCATAACTCAGAAAAGGTTTCAGGCTGATCCTCCAACATAGGCCCAACGGATAGGAATTGTAAAGGAGATAAACTATATGAATAGACTCACATTTACCTAAAGAATTCATTCAAAAGGTGTGAAAAGTATTGGAAAAAATGGACATTGCGAATAACATGTGAAAATGTGCACCAAATGTGTTTTGTTTTGATAATGTGACCCCTATGATAACTATTTTGTTCCTTTTATGTTCCTTCATCTGGTTAAATATCTGTTTTAAATCTCATGTGAGCTGACACTTTGTTTGCATTAAATGTGTTGTATTGTTCAACAAAATGGCACCTGCTTGTGCATATCCTGCATGACGCAACCTGTATAAAAATGTAAATAAACAGCAGTAGCTCATATAGGAGTTTGCAAAGGGATGCTCATTGCTTATGCTCCAGGTTGTTGTAATCAGGATTTGCAAAGGTTGTGGATAAAAGTCAATAATAAACACTGTAAAAGAAATTAATTTTCAGAATCATTGTTTTACTACATCATGTATCCGCTTGTTAAGTGTGACCTCACACGAAGCGGATCCCGGGTCCAATCGCCATATAAAACTGTATGTGGAATCTCATCAAAGGGTAATAATAAATGTTTACAAAGCGCTGTAATACTTTCGAAAGTCACAACTGCAGTATAAATATCCATGTCTATTATCAGAAAGCCAGAAAGGGATTTGTCTTTATAAACTGTTAAGCGTCTGTGATGCAGCAAATTCAGAGACAGTTGTGTACACCATGACTTTATATAAAATTCACTTTAATGAATGATATGACTAAAAAATGGTCATTAACAAACACTTCCGCAATTTAAATGTGTAACAGCTTGGAACCGGAAACATTATTTCATCATCACGACTTAAGTGAATAGCCAAGACAGTTTTAGAGTTTTTAACTCAAGAGTGCTGTAGAAATTTTACTTGCTATTTACAGATCCAAATTTCAGCTAGTAACGTCTTTAAATGGCTACATTCTAAGACGCTTAACACGAAAAAAGCTTAACATGGCTTAATGTACCTAAACATAACCCAGAGAAACCCAAATTTCTGTCATATTGTAGTTGTAATTAACCCCAACTACTGTAAAAAGAATGAGTCCCAATTTCATAGACAAAGTAAAAAACATCACATTAAGCGTTTTCTCCTCCATTTAAGTCTATTATAAGGAAAAAGCTTAACATGGCTTAATACACCTTAACAACAGGCAGGGAATTTTTTTTCGATCAAATATTACTTATGACAAACCCTTTCTGATGTCAAAAGAATGAGCTGTAATTTTAGGGAGTGAACATTTTCACGTTATGCATTTTAAGTTCATTATAAGGAAACAGCTTAACGTGGCTTAATATACTTTAACACCGACCGGGGAAACCCCCCAAAAAATTCTGTCAAACTTTACTTGTGATTAACACCAACTATTGCAGGGCTCAACAATAAGGACTGCCCGGTGGCCCGGGGCCAGCGTGTTAGGCGCTCTGGACAGTAGACAGAATTGTTACTGGCCCGATTCGTAGTGCCTTGTCACAAGAGTTCAATTTGTCTGCGACTATTTGTTAATTGCATATGAATACAGTCTAAGAATCGAGAAACAGTTTGTGCTTTTAAGCCTTTAAATGCTGCCTTCCCAGTGATGTCATAAACACCATGTTGCTTTTCGGTTCCTTCTATCTGATTGGATGTTGTAAGCATGTAGTTTTTTTTTGTAATCTGGTAAAAACCAGTACAGCGAAATAAATTTATGAGGCTAAAAGAATGTCTTGGAAGCAGACATTTACATGGGTACCATGCTAAGATATGCTCATTATACATTTTTTTACATTTTAAAAATATAAAAATTCTAGATTCAAAACACATTTTTGACACAATATTAAAACATGTGGCTAAGAAATATCTATTAACTTAACTTTTTTTTGGTGGGGCCAGTGAAAATATTCGCAGGGCAGGTAAAAATCTGAACCGCTGGCCCAAACGGGCCAGTAGAAAAAATCCTTAGCGTTGAACCTTGTATTGTCAATGGAACAGGTCCTAATTCCATAAAGTGAACAATATTATGTTAAGTGTTTTCTCCCCATTGAAGAATATAATAAGGAAAGGCTTAAAATAACTTTACAACAACCGAGGGAAACCAATAAAGGAAAAGTTGGCTTTATATTGGGAGATTTAGACATTTCTTCTTAATAATATAATTTCAAAAAAGCACTCTTTGCAAATTCTAAATAGGGAAATCATATTAGGAGCAAATTGCTATCAAAGTACAGCATTGTCCACAGTGAATTAGATAGTGTTAATGTTGTTTAGAAATCATACTTGCATGCTAATTCTGATTGAATACTCAAAGTAATATAGTAAACAATATAGAGACTGCTAGTACTAAATGACAGATGTGCAAATATAAAACCAACTTTACCTCTTTGGAAAACCACATGTTAAAAAGACTGTTCGTAAAATTAAAGTTAGTGTTAATCACAAGTAAAACTTGATCGAAATTTAATTTTCCCCGCTTGTTGTTAAGGTACATTAGGCCACGTTAAGCTTTTCCCTTATACTAGATTTCAATAGAGGGGAAAACACTTGATGTTTTTTTTTTTTTTTTTTTTTTCTATCTATGGAATTGGGACTCGTTCTTTTTACAGTAGTTGGAGTTAATTACAAGTAACAGAAATTTGGTTTCTCTGGTTTATGTTTAGGTACATTAACGTCAAACCACGTTAAGTGTTTTAAAATGTCATTCACAATGTTCTATTGGGAGGAAAATATTACATTTTGAATGGCTTGAGGGTGAGTAAAGTGTTTTATTTTTGTGTGAACTATTCCTTTAAATGTTGTTTATGCTTTCGAACACTTGGCCAATGGCTTAGTGAAAGGCAAAACAGGAACAGATGAACATCCCCGCACTTGCTGACTAGACTATAATGTCGTTTAAGAAACAGACAAAACCACTAACATGAGCTGTTTTGATATCTAATATGCTGACTTTCAAGACTAAGTCATTTAAAAGCGTTCGGAACGTTCTCTTCAAATGTTACACGAAATGTTATCTGTATGGGCATTAAGTTACTTGTGACTGAACCAAACAAACAGCCCAAAACGAGACAAATGTGACAGCAAATCATCCCAAAAAGCATCGCGACAGATAATTTAATTAAAATAACACAGTCAGGTTTTTTCTTCTGGCGTTTATGTTTGTGATCAGGCCAGAGAGAGTCCAGAAACTGATCTAGGCTAAGCTACACAGCTACGCATCTCTAATTTCAATAACGTTACCTTCAATGTATTTCCTGCGGAGTTTTCGGTGCACGCTCTTCACCACCCCGGACAGCTTCTCCTGTTCCTGCTTCCTGGACTGCAGCTCCGCCGGGACGGAGCCGGGATGGTTTTCGGAGAGGTCCGGGTCTGTCTCAGCGCTGCTCCGCAGGTCCATAGTACAGCACTGAGCTCCCGGTGCACCGGCTCCGTCAGTCCGTCAGCGCGCACGAACACACTGCAACAACACGCAGCCTGATTGCGCCTCTCCAGTGAACGTGCCGGAAGTGCAGGGCCAATCTGCGAACGCTAAATATAAAACGCCTATGAGTTCTGAAATGTTTATTAACAAGTTTGTTCGTTTTGTTTTGATGAGATGTTACATGCAATAATAATAATAATAATAATAATAATAATAATAATAATAATAATAATAATAATAATAATAATAATAATAATAATAACAACAAGAAGAGGAAGACGAAGAAAAAAGGTAGTATTATAAAACATTCATTCATTCATTTTCTTTTTGGCTTAGTCTCTTTATTAATCTGGGGTCGCCACCGTGGAATGAATCGCCAACTTATCCAGTATATGTTTTACGCAGTGGATGCCCTGCACATAATGAATATTATTAACGATTATTATTCTTAGGTTTATAATTAATTGCTGTCATTGTTATTTCATAGTAACAATACATTTTAATAAGTTTACACAATTTCTAAACTAAGATATAATATGATTATTATTATTTATAATTACATTTTAATAAGTTTATTCATTCATTCATACATTCATTCATTTTCTTTTCAGCTTGGGGTTGCCACAGCGGAATGAACCACCAACTTATCCAGGATATGTTTTTACACAGCGGATGCCCTTCCAGCTGCAACCCATCACTGGGAAACATCCATGCACTTTCATACACTACAGACAATTTAGCTTACCCAATTCACCTAAACCACATGTCTTTGGATTGTGGGGGGAAACTGAAGCACCCGGAGGAAACCTATGCAAACACAGAGAGAACAAGCAAACTCCACACAGAAATGTCAGCTGACCCAGCCGAGGCTCGAACCAGTGATCCTCTTGCTGTGAGGCGATCGTGCTACCCACTGCACCACCGTGCTGCCTGAATAAGTTTATAACATGTATAATTTAAATTTTAAAATTGTGATGATGCTGATTATTGTTATTAAATTTAACAACAAAATGTTGTGCTGGGATTAGTGTATATGAGTGTAAATGCAGTTTAGTGTTTGGTTTGAGACAAAAAAGGATGTTCCTTAAAGGGATCATTCATCCGAGACTGAATATTCTGTCACAATTTAATCACTCACTTGTCACAAACCTTTTTTCATACAAAAAAAAAAAGTATGAAAATTTCGCAAAATGTTAAAAAAAACTGTAACCATTGTTTTTGTTTTTCCTACTGTAACCCTGCTGGTCCTACACCACCGAACCCAATCCAAGCTGGTATAGAACCAGCAACTTTCCACCTGGGAGTCGATTGCTCTGATGGAGGCTAAAAACCATGGCCTCTAGGACCTGTCACAAGAGCAACTTTAGAGGTCAGAGGAGTGAGGTTTACCTGCACAGCACTTCACTAGCTGGCCACCGCTACACTACAATGGAAGTTACTAGTTACAGGTCTCCAGTGGTGGAACTGAAAAGTACTGAAGAGTACTGAAAAATCAAAATTAGGTAAAACATACTATTTCTTGCCCAAAAATGTAATGCAAGTAAGAATAAAAGTATGTGTTGTAAACATTACTCGAAGTATGAGTACAAAGTAGACCTTTCAAAAGTACTCAAGAGTAGTGAGTAGCGAGTGTTACGCTTTGAAAAGCTGTGAAAATGCATTTACATGTAATTTGTGGAAGTGTGTAAATGTAACATTCTGTGGTGCATTTAGTTATTGCTTAGCAGGCAAACAACATCATAAAACGTTAATATTAGGTTAGATTTAGGACGTGATGTCAGGTGATCAAAAATTAAAGTATACCCAGTGTCTAAGGACAATGATATTTTGACATTTATTAACAACATCAAATGACGTTGATATTTGGTTGAATTTAGGTTGTGTTAGAAAGTGATCAAAAACCTACATCGAGCCAACATCTTAAACCAACGTCATATTGATGTCAAATACTGACATTTATTCATCGGGTATGGCAACCAAAATCCAACATTTGATAGACGTCATAGTGTTAACATCCACACAACATCAAGCTGTAACATCATTAGATGTTGATATTTGGGTGATTGTAGGTTGGACGTTGGACATTGACATCGGCTTGACGTTTGATTCTGATGTCAACCCGATTTTCATTTCCAAACAAAATGCAACGTCTCCACAACATTAGGGTACAACGTAAATCTATCGTCATGTTGACATCTTATGTCTGCTGGGTGTTTAAGGCCATTTTGGTCTTCAAACAACAAACATCCATCATCAACAGTGTCTGGGTCAATGTGTGTAAGGTTTATAGACATCTACTTCGACACTTTTAATGCTTTCAAACAGTTTGCTACTATTATAAACCGCCCTTGTCTGGAGGTAGTTCATTATGATGGCATTTACCTTCTATGTGCAATTTGATTGGACAGGAATCAAAGGGCTGATTTTTCTAATCCCCAAAGACAAGAAAAAATAAAGTAGTGACTGCAGGTTGAGGGAAAGTAGTGGAGTAAAAGGACTAATGCTGCACTATAAATGTACTTAAGGAAAAGTAAATTATAGTAAATTATAATTTCTGGGAAAAATGACTTGATTACAGTAATTTGAGTATTTATAATTTGTTACTTTACACCATTTCAGGTCTCTACCATTAATCTAATCAAAATATCTTTTGTGTTCAACAGAAAACAGAAACTTATAAAGGTTTTCAACAACTTGCGGGTGAGTAGTTTGTGAGTAAATACATTTTTATTGGGTGAACTGTCCCTTTAAGATATGCATAGTTTTTGACGCCACTTTTATTATTCTGAATAAGCCTAAACAAAGTGGAATTACAACAAGTGCTTGCTAATAATAATCCATGTATGGTTAATATTTCTTATAGTCTGGAGAGTCACATCACAGGGTCACATTCCCGCGAGCTCTGACATGAAATCCTGTGAGGAATGGCGAGTACGGGAAATGTGTCACGTTTCATTACACACAGCTTTGGCTTACAGTGAGTATTATAAAACTAACAAAACCACTACAGTTTGACACACACAATTTTGACTCAACTTTGCTTTGTAGCCTTTTTTTGAAATCCAATATAAATTTACTGACCATTAACTAGTTCCAAACTTGCATAATTTTCTTTTGCCTTTTAAACAGAAAAAAGACGTTTTGAAGAATGTTGGAAACTGATAAGCATTGGCATACAAAGAAAAACAAATGAAAGTCAATGGGTACCCGTTTCCAACATTTTTCAAAATGTCTTATTTTGCGTTCAACAAAAGAAAGAAACTAACAAGAAAATTGAAGAAACTATAGCAGAAATTTCTCAAACAATGGGTTGAACTATACCTTTAATATATAAATGTTGTGCAAAAGTTCCATCAGGTCATCACTTTTGACCACGACTGAGTAATCATGACCTTATGTTGTTACTGTTTGATGCATCAACTGGACTTTACCAAACCTGAAATAGAGTTACAATGCTATTGTGTATCCTTGAGTTTGAAATTGTCATCGTGCAGTTCCATCCCATTTAAAGAGAGTGATAATCCTGTAATATCCTCCATGCTCAGTTGTGCAGACTCCTTCTTAAAGGGGCAGTTCATCCAAACATGAAAATGTTCTCTATATTTACTCATCTTTAAGTGGTTTCTGTAAAAATCATAAAAGATATTCTGAAGAACCTGTAACCATTAACTTCCATATAGGAAAAACAAATACTATGGAAGTCAATGGTAACAGTTTTTCCTGCTTTCTTTGCAATTTTTGTTATTAACAGAAGAAAGAAAATCATAAACAAGTTTTTGGTGAAATTTCCCTTTGAGAGACTAGATAGTTTTGTCATTGTACTGTATAAACACAAAATCATTCATACAAGAGGCAAAGTTCCTTAGAACATGTGTTTATGTACACTCAACGGCCACTTTATTAGGTACACCTTACTATTTCCAGGTTGAACCCCCTTTTTCCCTTAGAACTGCCTTAATTCTTCGTGGCATTCAACAAGGTACATGATAGCATCATGCAGTTGCTGCAGATTTGTTGGGTGCACATCCATGATGCGAACCTCCTTTTCCACCACATCCCAAAGGTGTTCTATTGGATTGAGTTCTGGTGACTGTGAAGGCCATTTGAGTACAGTGAACTTATTGTCATGTTCAAGAAACCAGTCTGATATAATTCATGCTTTATGACATGGCGCGTTATCCTGCTGGAAGTAGTCATCAGAAGATGAGTACACTGTTGTCATAAAGGGATGGACATGGTCAGCAGCAATACTCAGGTAGGCTGTGGTGTTGATAAAATGCTCAATTGGTACTAATGGGCCCAAAGTGGGCCAAGAAAATGTCCCCACACCCATACACCATGACTACCAGCCCGAACTGTTTATACAAGGCAGGATAGATCCATACTTTCATGTTGTTGAAGTCAAATTATAAATTTTGCCACAGAAATCGAGACTCATAAGACCAGACAACATTTTTCCAATCGTTTATTGTCAAATTTTGGCGAGCATGTGCAAATTGTAGCCTCAGTTTCCTGTTGCTTCCTGTGACAGGAGTGGCACCCTGTGTGGTCTTCTGCTGCTGTAGCCCATCAACCCCAAGGTTAGACATGTTGTGCATTCGGCTATGCTCATTTGAGCAGCTGTTGCCTTTCTATCAGCTGGAACCAGTCTGGCCATTCTCCTCTGACCTCTGGCATCAACAAGGCATTTGCGCCCACAGAACTGCCGCTCACTGGACATTTTCTCTTTTTTAAACCAATCTCTGTAAACCCTAGAGATAGTTATGCATGAAAAATCCAATAGATCAGCAATTTCAGACCATCTGGCACCATCAACCATGCCACATTCAAAGTCACTTAAATCACCATTCTTCCCCATTCTGATGCTCAGTTTGAATTTGAACTGCTGCAGATCATCTTGACCATGTCTATATGCCTTTGAGTTGCTGCCATGTGATTGGCTAATTAGAAATTTGCATTACGCAGTTGGACAGGCGTACTTAATAAAGTGGCCGGTGAGTGTATACAGCTATTAAAAGAGTCAGATGTATTTCTGTGAACTGCATAGTTTAATAACCAGGAGATTAGATCATAGTTCATCTGATGGTTCAGTGAAAGACGGTTCTTCGAATGATGTCCAATAATAAATGAACAACATAAAAGCATATTAAAATAAGAAAAGCTGCACAATATTGAATTGCAATAAAAAATGCTCTGTGGATTAGACAAAACATACAAACAACACAATAAAAGATTGTATTACCAATTTGGGTACTGAGGAAATCAGTTTACTTAGCATAGTTCATTCATTATTAGTATACACCTGTATCTACTTACAGTACATGTCCATATGAAGCAACAACTGCTCAGTTTGGAGATTTACAGATGTTAAGACCATATCAAGTCATAGCGTCAAATAGTTTGTGACTGCAAACAAACCAGATGATATGTAAAGGATCAAAGAATTGGTAATCTCTTGTGGTTCAACCATGGAAATATAGAAAATAACTATAACAGAAGAAATTCAGTACTGTTTACATTAATGTTCATTTTCTCGACTACATTGTGAGACACAGGGGCACCGCTGGGCAGGAGAAGTTAGGATGATTCTAAGGGCCCACACTGTTTTGGGGCCCCCAAAGACACTATTAAGGGCCCACCAGAACCACCATGCTCTTCACTTTTTGCGACATCCACGAAATGTTGTCATAGGGCCCGTACCGGCCAGCAGCACCCCTGGTGAGACATATGCTTCAACATCAATCAAACTTGACCTTTGTGTGTGTGTGCAAATTATTCTGAAGAAAAAATAATACATTTTTACTGTAGTATATGTGTTGTAGTATAGATAAATTATAATCTAGTAAGGCTGTGCTAATTAGGCTAAGCTACAAATAAAATGATGTCAGTAAAATTGCACTAGAATCCCATTTCAAGGCTAATCTTCCATAATCTGTCACACTTTAACTTTTCACTCACCCAGTGGTCCTTTAATCATCTCTGTACCAAGCACTTTTAGCATATATCTCAAAGATTGCTAGATATATACCCCCTCATTCAATCCCCTGCTTTATAATCAGCTTTGTGTAAAGAGCATTATGAAACTGTTCAAACTTAGTTTTCCATACACTAAGAAAATACACCTTCTTATATAGTATACCTATCACTTTGTTTTTTCAGTCACGAGTTTGTCGTCCCTTACAAAAATATTCCTGTATTTTATAGTAAAATTGTAGTAATCATGTTTTTTTGGTGCATTGACTTTCGTTTTACTACAAACACCAAGCTTTAACTTTGGGGCTCCCATGGGGTTTCCGTAGTCAACCACAGAATTACTTTAGTTTTGCATTTCTAACCATAATTTATCATGGTAATTTTAGTAGAACTGTGCTTATACAAATAGAAATAAGTGCACCAAAAGTCATGGTTAGGGTTAGGTACAATTTTACTATTAAAAAATGATGGTTAATATTTGTAAGGGATATAAAATCACATCTGCACCAACGATGAGATATTATATTCAATTATATTCATAAATCTTTCCTATTTCAAAAAAATAAAAAATTACATTCACTGCAACCTTTTTTCACAATTCTGAGACTTTTTCAATGGTTCTCCCTCCCCTTGATGAAACAGCCAATACACTGTAAGAAGATACAATGCAAAGCATGCAATGAAGTCATAATGATATGCCAGAACCAAAAACACTATCAGCAAAAATGTGTATCCAATCATCCTTTTCATATTATCATACGACAGAAACTTCTTCCACCACAAGACGTTACGTCCAATGACACGTTCATTCCTGTCCACTAGCGGCAGCATAGCTCTTTTACTCTCTGTGAGAAGTGCAATATTTGATAAATCCTCCAGAGAACTATTTTGATGATCCTCATCCACAGACTCTGAGATCGAAGGCATTGATGGTCTCCTGCGGCTTATAGATGGTCTTTTGCTTCCGCTCATTGTGCCTTCTCTGAATGCTGACTGTTGTGAATTCCTCAGACTGTTCAGGTATAGCTCCATTTCTTCATCAATCTGTGATTCTGTTGATGTATTGTCTTCAGTGTTTCCAGAATCTCCGGACAACGAGTCTTTTGCCTCATATTCCATGTTTTTATAATCAGCCATAGTCTTACTTTCGCAGAATACTTTCATTTCTTGATCACCGGCATCCCAGCTGTTCTCTAATGCTATTGTACTTCCACTGACTTCAGTATCACTCTTTTGAGAGGATTCTTGCCAAGATGTTCCAGTTTCCTCACAGATCTGTACTCCACTGATGAAACTTTCTTGGTTTTCCAACACCTCAACTCCACATAGACATTCATTTAAGTCAATATTCCGTTGGGTTACTGATTGAACATTGCAGGTACTATTAAACCTCTTCTGGTCCTCAGAATCTCTTTCAAGAGAAACCAAATAATCGGCATCTACTTGCTTATTTTCTCTCTCAGGTTTCATTTCGTCCAAATCCTCTTCATCATCTATGTATTTCAACTCATCTTCAATGCTCTTTAATCCTCCCTTATTCTCCTGCTTGTCTTTTTCACCTTCATGTTCTTCTGGATCTTGGTCTTTCTCCTTTTCTCCTTTTCTAGTTCCCTCTTCTTCCTCTTCAAGGCTCTCAGAATTTGTCGTTTCGCTACCGTCCTCCACCTCTTTATTAGCTAATGTGATCTGTTCTCCTTCAAAATCAATAATGTTTGAACACTCCTTCTCTGTAGTCTTTGAAGAAAACTCTGCCTTCTTACCGTTCATGTTACAGGTCTGCATAGTATTGCACATAATTATCTCTGTGTTATCCAGTTTTGAACATTGTTCTGTTAGCACAGCTGTTGCGTTTGATAAGTCACAAAGATCTTCAGGTTTTTCAATGTATGATATCTTACAGCAATCAGGTTCTAATTTATCAGGTTCTAAATTGATCCCTGAAGTTTGGCGTGTTGTGGGGTCATCTGGAGATTTGGCAAGAATGCAAGAGTTAATAATTGAATTCTCTGTTTGAACTAATGTATCTTCTTCTTTGGTGCGGATGTTTGTTGGGTCCTCCTGGTTTTGTGACATTTCAGTGTTCAAAGATAATAAAGTCTTTAAAGCTGATGTGGCTGCTGAAGGATGTATCTGTTCAGACAGGTTGTCAATATCTGACTCTGTTGCTTGATTTGTATTGACAAAATGTTCTGCAGCTTGTAGCGGAAATAAACTGTGGCAATAATCATACTGGAACGTTTCATCTTTACATTCTTCTAGAGAAGGATCTAGTTGGCTGGATGTAACTTTTGGAAGGTTGGCTTCAATAAATATAATGTCTGTTGGGTAACCACTAGGATCATTTTGATTGTGAGAATCTTCAACACATTCACTTTTATTTGACTCAGAAAGAGGACTTTTGGTTGGGTTTACTGTTTTGTTCTGATCTGTTGATGCTTTGCAGTCGTCAACACTAATATTATGTACTTCCCGTTGTAAAGAAATGAAAGTCTCGGGGGTTGTAACCGCAGTTAGACTCTTGTTCTTTAGTTCCTTAAATGACCTGTTTACTTGTAGGATCTTTGGCGTGAAGTCTTTTTTCTCAATTTCCATGTTTTTAAAAACCTGATGATAAAGTGGAGCTACAATGGTTCTGAATGTGAAGCCTTGAGAAAACAGTTGAGTCTCTGTGTTGGCAGTTTTCAAGCTCACATTATCTTCTCGATTACCACCAGCAACATTCACATCTTCATCCACCTTCAAACTCAGTGCTAAATGTTTTATTCTTTGCTTAGCATCCTTCTCAAAGTGCTCCCATGCTCTTTCAACATCCTTGGAGATGGACAAGTCTGAATTTTGGCATTCAGGAAAAGACTGACTGTTTGAAACTTTTTGGTCAGTAACGTTGTCCTTAAGAGGGACGTCCTTTAGGACTTCAGAAGCAGAGCTTGTGACGGTTTCATCACAACTTATAGAGTCCCCCAGGGGTAAATTTGTTTGTGCTTTTGAAAAGTTGATTATATTGTCTATACAGCAGATGTCCTTGGAGTCTCCTATGTCATCTGTAGATTTGAGGGACTCAGCTGGTGATGATGATATTTGGGTGTCTGTTGGTGGTTGAGGAGTTTGTTGGGATAGAGAGCTGCATGTTGTCATTTCCAGTCTCAGAGTGCTGGTTTCTGCTGTAACTTCACTCTCTTTTGTCTTGGTCCCTCGTTTTTGTTCTTCCTCTCTCTTAGCAAAGTGCTCCTTGACTTTTTGTAATCGTGCAGCCTTTCTTCTGTTCCTTCGGCTGCGGTTTCTGCTCATTTCCTCCTGTTTACAAAGAGGTAGATGTGAAAAATAATTCATAAAATCTCTTATCATAAAAGTACCTTATTAGCTTTGATTGATTGAGTGAAAACATTGACTTGGGCTTTCATTTTAAAGGAAAACTCCACTTTTTAAAATATGCTCATTTTAAGAGTTAAACAGTTGAGTTGTACCATTTTAAATATAATCAGACGATCTCCAGTCTGCTTAGCTTAAATTGTTAAATTAGATTATTAGATTATTTAATTACATTTTTGAATCACAAAATTTTCTATAAAGTTTGTATAATTTACCTATTTAAAACTTGACTCTGTTGTAATTACATTGTGGACTAAGGCTAGCAGAAAATGAAGAGATGCTATTTTCAGGTGCTGCAAATATCATTGCGCTTGCTGCAGTTTCTTGATTTATACACCTGTGTATTGTTTTTAGCCATATAAACACAGAAAATAGCATCTTTTCAATTTATGTCAGTCCCAGTGCACATTGTCACTACAGAAAAGTCATGCTTGTACTCGGCACCAATAGCCTATTGGTAAAGTGTGCCAACATATAGCACTAAGGTGCTCATGGCACCCGGCGATCCTTTCCCTCTCTCTCTGCTCCCCATGTATTCATGTCTCATCTTTACTGTCCTATATAGTAAAAGTAAAAAACACTAAATATATATATATATATATATATATAAACAAAAAAAAGAAGAGGAAGAGTAAAGCTTTAAATGAGTTTATAAGTACTGAAACTTTTTAGGATTTAAAAAATATATATTATTATATATTTTTTTATTTGAGAATATACACAATTACAAAATGTTTACAAGTATAAGATCCTCCACATTTTACTTATGCATATAAACTTAAAACAGAATATTTTCTAATAATTGAATACAAGTGATTACATTACAATCTCACACACACACACACACACACACACACACACACACACACACACACACACACACACACACACACACACACACACACACACATGTATATATACATATGAAAACCATTATCTGAGTAGACAGGAAAATCCTTAGTTTAGAATTACAGAAGGAAATGAAAAAGAGCAATAATCTCAAATAAAACAGATCGAAAGTAATACCCCATTCCAACCCTCCCCCTCCCTCGTCTGTTTCTGTCTGTATGCACACCAGATAGGGAAGGCTACTGAAAATGAAAGCTGGCCTACGATCTAGCAATATCCCCATCAAACAACTGTACAATCTCTCCCTTCCAAGTACTTTATAAACGATTCCTATGTGTTTTAGAAAAATGAAGCTTCTTATTCTGTAAAGGATACCGTATTCTTTCTAATTGGAGTGTCTTTGTGAGTTCACTGAACCATAACTTGAATAAGAATACGTTTTTTGACTGTTAAAAGGCCATAGGAAACAATTTGTTGCTGAGACTTGGATAACCCTAAACACAATAAAAAATTCATCTGGTTTGATAGTTTGCTCTGATTTCAGAAAACAACATAGATAATGTTGCACCAAAAGTCCAGTAAACTAAAACATAAAGCATATGGAGCAGTGATGCATCAGACATTTTGCATTTGTCACATTTTGGAGAAACACTTATTTTACAAATATTTTAGAATGCTTTGTTTTTGAGTAATGCAATCTATGTAGGATTTTGAATTGGATAAGATAAATTGGATAACATTTATGGATTTCTTCCAGACACTGTCAGTAGTTTGTTAGAAAACTCTGATCCTAGCTTGTCTTCCCATAACTTTTTGATTGTGGATGTGGTAGGTGTTTGGTGGGTTTGAAGGATGTTATATCAATGGGAAGTAATTTTATCCATACCAAGATGGTCCTTCAGACAAAACAGGAAGGATTAATTGTTGTGGATTTCAAGTAAGAGTGTACACAGTTCCTTACTTGAAAAAATTACTTAGGTCATTTAAGGATTTTTTTTTTTTTTTGCAAGATGCTTTTGGTCTAATCTGATTTATAAGTTATATTGAGTTATGCTAAGCTTAGCTACAAGAGCTCCTGCCAGACACAGAGATCATCTGAAATTATTCAAAACTAGTAAAACTTAACTGTTTAACTGTAGGGGAGTTGTAAAAAAAATCCTATTTCTTTTTAAAGTGGAGTGTTCTTTTAACTCAAAGGTTTCAGAGTGACCCTGTGCAGCCTGACCTATCAAGTGTCTTGTTTAGGACAGTACATAATGTTACACTAATACTTGTCAAAACATCAGCGAGCACAGGACATTCAGAAGGAGCTGCTTGTGTCACACCACTTTTATTTTTATTTGCATAACTATATCAATATCTGCCATCCTTGTTTTGCCTGCGTGAATTCATAGTGAAATACATTGTTTATTTAAAACAGTTAAATGAATATGGTCAAATATAAGATTGTAAAACTCACCGCTAATTCCTTGCTTTCCTTTTCACTTTTCTCAGAGTTTTCACTTACAGATTCTGGGTCAGTGGCCTTTACATCATTTAGGTTTACAACTGAAAAGAATAACAACAACAACAACATGTTAATATATATATATATATATATATATATATATATATATATATATATATATATATATATATATATATATAAATTTGAATGTTTCCACTTCTAGTTTTGAGGAGTTAAATTACCAGGAAGCTTTTCATTGTTTGTTGTCGTAGAGGTTGAAGCTGATGAATTTGTGCTGAAAAATTAACAAAAATAAACCAGCTTGTATTTTGTTCTCCTTTGTATTGTATGCATGAACTCGTTCCTTAACTCACAGTTTGTCATTACATTTTTAAATTATGGTTAATTTTTAATTCTATTTATATTTACAATTATGTGAATATCTTAGACATAATTAATTAGATATTATCTACTTTGCAACAAATCTGTTGACAACCTCTCACCTGGTTATTTTCAGACAACTTTTTCTTCTGTTTTCACTCTCACTTTGGCCTTTCTCCTTCAGTTTTTCACAACAAAGTAAAGAATAGTTCTTTTCACTGTTGTTTGCCCAAAAAGTGCCTACAGATGTTTCATATCTCAAACAAAAGTCAACCCTTGCGCCTTCTTCTCCAAATGGAGGTACCAGTGTGAGCTTGAAGGAGAAACAATCCATCTCACCATTGTTCGACCCAGATGAGTACTCAGCCAGCAGATCAAAATGACTTCTCCAGGAATCCAAAGACGTACGAACATAGACCATCTTATCAAAACACACATTCAGCACACGGACAATACCTCTAAGGGTTGTGGTCCCAGAAAGCAACTCCAAACTTTCCAGTTCAAGCTTCTGCTCGTGAACCCGCAACTCTAACTCTTCAGACGTTTGTGGAAGAGTGAAAAGGGGAACCATATAATACTCCTTATCTTCGTTCAAGTCGCTTTCTAAAGGGCCTGATGGTGGAGTTGCCCCCCAAGCATCAAACTGCTTCACTGAGACAAGACTCAAACCAAAGGCGTCAGCAAAGGACACTCTTCTGCTGCTGGAAGGGGGAGGCAAGGAGTCATCGGAGGACGCAGAACTCCGTCGTCTAGGTGTGGGTGAAGATTTGGGTTTAATTCCTTCTAATCCCAGTGACTCTTCATCCTCTTCCCAAGGGGAAGCCGGCAAACTGAGTGAGTTGGAGCTTCCCCCAATGGGGCTTCCCAGCGCTCCCACTGACTCCATCAGGCAATGTGGAAGAGAGTGAGAGGAACTCAGCTGCTCGGCCAGCAACTGACGTGCTGTGACTTAACTTATGGAGTCGAGTTACATTTGACATTGTAGGCAAAAGCCAACTCTATATTTAGGGCAGAAACAACTCAAGCTATGCAGTCTAAGCTCAGGGGAGCCATGAAAAATTATGTTACAGACACACTTCAAACAAAATAACATTGTTATGTGCACACAAAAATGCCTAAAAGGATAGTTTACCCAAAAATGAAAGTTCCGTCATCATTCACAGCTTATATTTTTCACATTTTCAGATATTACATTCATTTAGCAGACACTTTTATCCAAAGCTACCAATAAACGATGATAAAAGAAACACTTCAAATCACCTGGGAGCAGTTGTATATACATCCCAAGACACATAAACATTCATACACATGCACAGACACACACAGATAAACATAAACCCACTCATCTCCATAATATACAATTAGCAGTGCACAATGAACGCTTATAAGAAGGTGTCTGGTGCATATGGAAAGAAAAAGAGTGTATCTCTATGTAGTTCTTCTTAAGCAGCAACTGCTTGGAACACAACAGATGGTGTTTTGAGAAACGCCTCAGATTTCTTTTAGATTATGGAAATGGTTAAGCAAATATTGAAAGTTTTAATCCAGGGGTGTTTAAACTCCTGGAAGTTTTTAGCATATCAAGTAAGAGCTTGATTAGCTGTTTCAGGTGTGTTTGATTAGGGTTGGAGCTAAACTCTCCAGGACACTGGGCCTCCAGGACTGAGTTTGGGCATCCCTGTTTTAATTTATTCAGCTGTGCTCATGCTAAATTCAGCATATGTTCAAAAGAAGTAGGCTTAGATTGTGGTCATTCGTATATTTATAATTTCTCTACAGTTATATAAGCAGGGCTTAAAATGAACTCACCAAGCACCAAATGCAAACCCATCTGTTGACCAGTTACATTTTAGAATTAATTTGAATGTTTTGAGTGTCTTCTCTAAGTTCTAAGGGTTGATACACACCAAAAACCCTATATTCAATTCAATTTAGTTTAATGTTTGAAAGCAAAGGATAAACATTAGCACAAATGGAAATTTTAATATTATTATAGTAATAGTATGGGAAGCATGGTGACTCAAAGGTCACTGGTTTAAGTCATGGCTGGAAGAGTTAGCATTTCTGTGTGGAGTTTACATGTTCTCCCTGTGTTGTTGTGGGTTACCTCCGGGTGCTCCGGTTTCCCCCACAGTCCAAAGACATGCTGTAAAGTGAATTGGATGACCTAAATTGGCCGTAGTGTATATGTGTGTGTGTGTGTGTGTGTGTGTGTGTGTGTGTGTTGCATCTGGAAGGGCATCTGATGCGTAGTCGGTGGTTGATTTTGCTGTAGTGACCCCTAATAAATAAGGGACCAAGCCGGAGGAAAATGAATGAATGAATATTAATAGTAATGTTAATAGTATTAGAGATGTAGATTTAGATCCAGTTTAGTCATTTTGTAGTGATATTTGTGATTCAGCTATCATAACTAAATTAATTTGAAACAATAAAGATTTTGTTCTGAACATTTTAAATGAAATCACACATTTTTTAGTTAGATGCATTTTCTCTTAAGTCACCAAACATATTTTTGACCATTTATTAAAGCATTTCCTTTCCATTTAATTTGAAAGAGACTTTTACTTTGTAACAGAACAGGAAGCTTTCTTTACAGGAACAGCGGAATGGAAAAAACTTCTCTTTAAAGCTAAAGTACAGCTGTAAGAAAGCAAAGGTCATGCAAGGAAACATGCCTGTTTTTATTTGCCCTGTTTGTCCAAAGCCAAACTCACTTCCTCCTTGTGTTTCAACTTTGCCTCCATCTAGAGGAACACTGAGGAATTTTTATGAAGGCTAGAGGATCGTCTCTGTAAAATAGATACTGTAGTTATTATTTATGAATGGGTTTAATGATTAATTCAAGTGCAAGTGCAAGTTAATGCACTGAAAAAAAAAAGTCTGTCCATTTACTTGTTTGGACTGGTGGTCATTCTCTGTTAACGTCAGTTTGAAGGGTTCAGCCACAAAATAAAAATAAAAAACCTGCTTTTTGTAAAACTTTTTTTGTTTCCAGCCCCTCAATATTCTACTTTAGTGTCTTGGAAATAATGTTCTGTGCTATGTTATGTTGACTGTAGTAGATACAGTAATTTATTAGAGAATGAAGTAATGTAGTAGGCTAGTTGTATGTTGTACACACAAACATCAAGCCGGTACTTCCATTTTTATTCATACACAACCCAGACAACAAAAATGAAGTGTTTCCACTTTCTTCTATGGTAGACAGGTGAAGGTAAAATGTTCCAGTCTGGCTGGTAAAATCCTTTAGATTTTGAGCATAAATGTACACAGTAGTGATCATGAGTGGAAGATGCAGTATTAAAATCCCACCTAAACCCCCACAGACCAAAATCACACAATCAAGACATCACACTCCATTTTTAAAGCATTAAACAATAAACTAAAAGCAAAGTAAGATGTTTACGCAAGTGCGGTTTTGTTTCAAAATGGTCCTCAACCCACACATCAAAAATCAATTACATCACTGTCCTGTAATCGATTTTTGCTGTGTTTTTGAGGCCAGTGTTAGATGTCAATTTGATGTAGTTTTGACATCAAGGTAGCTTTCATGCATAGTATGGATACCAAAAAGCAGTGTGAATTTGGAATTGAAGCGCTCAGATAGTTTAACCCGTAGCGCATGGTGTTGTCATATGGCAACATGATAATTGTTCATTTCACTGCCACTGTTTCTTTAAGACCAACTTTATAATATTTTTGTTGGAAAGAGGAAACCTTAGTGTAGCCAATAATGTGCTTTGGTTAAGTCACATAACATGCAATGTTTTTCTGTGGAGAGATTTCTGACAAATCATGTCACAAAAAATGGGAAACATCACCTCCAGTAAGTTATGATGACATGTTCACCACTCAAAAGTTTTTATCAAGTGAGTTTTTAAAAAATCCATCAAATGCTAAATTGCTAAATGGCAATTTAGCAAAGAGGTCGCTGGGTCGCAGGTTCGAACCTTGGCTGGGTCAGTTGGCGTTTCTGTGTGGAGTTGTATGTTCTCCCAGCGTTCGCGTGGGTTTCTTCCGGGTGCTCCGGTTTCCCCCACAGTCCAAAGACATGCGGTACAGGTGAATTGGGAAAGCTAAATTGTCTGTAGTTTATGAGTGTGTGTGTGTGAATGAGTGTATGTGTGTGGATGTTTCCCAGAGATGGGAGGGCATCCGCTGCATAAATAAGTGCTGGATAAGTTGACGGTTCATTCCGCTGTGGTGACCCCAGATTAATAAAGGGGACTAAGCCAAAAAGAAAATGAATGAGTTTTCATTAGTGGAATGTCAAATAGTGGAAAGTGCAATATTGCAATAACTTAGCTAGCAAGGTCAGCTGTGATCTTTTAAGTTGTAACAATAACAACATGAATGCTAGTAGTATAATGTTGATTAGTAATATGGCATTTGAATTATGGATAAAATCACATTTTAATGGCAATACTTTTGATTAGATATAAATACACTGTAAAACCCAAAAAAGTTAAGGTAACTCAAACTGTTTGAGGAAACCGATTGCAACAAACCATAAAAGTTCAAAAACAAGTTCTGAGTACTGTGAACCTTCTCCATTTGAGTAAATGAAACAGTTTGAGCACAGTAAAACCCAATAAATGAAGAGAACTCAAACCAACTGAGTACTGTAAAACCCAATAAGTTAAGACATCTCAAACCGTTTGAGTTAAAAAAAAAAACTAATCTATATGAGTAAAGTGAACTTACTCCATTTAACTTACTTCAAGTAATGAGGTATGTAATTAACTTATTATCTTCAACACTGAGTTTAAAACTCTTTTCAAATGAGTAGAATTAACTTTCAGTAAATTTTGAGTTAACTACACTCATTTCATTTGATAAAGTTGACTGTTGGGTTTTACAGTGTACAGGGAACAGTGTATTAGCGAGCACCACCATGTTCAATGGTAAGTGAAAGAAGAAAAGGACAGAACTGGCTCTCACTACAGATAAAAATGAGGATGCGATGGGTTTTAGTGACCATGAGAATGATGTATAGACATTAGATAAGAGCAGTGATGGAGACAGTTCGGGTAAGTTAGCTCAGAGGCATATAAGACAATTGTAGTATAGTATATAGTATAATAAACATTGTTACATTATAATTATATATTTATGTAGTTACAATATATTTACTGGAGAAAATACGTATATTTACTGTATATTGTATACATGATAAGACAATGTAATGTTTGTTTTCAATAATATTCAGCAAAAAAGAATGGAATAAATGAAAGCTGTTGGAATATCAGTTGTTGGAAAGTGTGTATAAAGTGTTGTTTACAAGTTCTGTGTTACAGTTTATTTAGCACTGCAACACCAATTAAATCAAGACAAGCAACTAAATTATTAATTATAAGGAAAATTCTAAACTAGAAATATTTAAATTAGATTCACTATTGCACGTTGTTGCCAGAGGATACCTTAAAAGTAGCTTAAAAATCTTTTTTATTTTTCAAAAAAAATTTAACAGCACTTCAATAGCTTCCATCATGTTTTTCAACAAATGTCAGTGTGATGTTTTGACATCAAAGTACTCACTGCATTATTAATTAATTTTCTTCTCGGCTTAGTCCCTTTATTATTCTGGGGTCACCTCAGCGGAATGAACCGGCAACTTATCCAGCACGTTTTTATGCAGCTGATGCCCTTCCAGCCGCAACACATCTCTGGGAAACATCCACACACACTCATTCACACATACACTCATACACTATGGACAACTTAGCCAACCCAATTCACCTGTACCGCATGTCTTTGGACTGTCAGGGAAACCAGAGCACCCGGAGGAAACCCACGCGAACGCAGAGAGAACATGCAAACTCCACACAGAAACGCCAACTCAGCCGAGGCTCAAACCAGCAACCCAGCAACCTTCTTACTGTGAGGCGACAGCACTACCTACTGCGCCACTGCGTTGCCCGCTGCATTATTGTTCAAGCCAATTTCATGTATTGGTGAAGAGCAGGATGCATGAATTCTTTGCCAAGTCAAATCTATTTTTAGTAGCTTTAAAAAACACTTAAATCTGATGATGGGTTACACTGAGACTTCTCCACGATCCTAATACCTAAAAACAGAAAACACAAAGCAGGTTGTTTCACATTCATATAAAAATGCTATAATATAAGATCAACTGCATGTGCTTTTATCACCTGTAGTAATTTGGTTTGAAGGGGCCGTTTTTGCTCAAGCCCATGTATTTGGCTTGATCATCTGTGAGTTCAGTCAGATGAGCATCAAAGGTCTGAAGGTGCAAACTTGCAACATACTCGTCTGGAAGACAAAGTCTTAAATCAGTTTGTGATGTCATTATCATTTAAATGTGATTCAGTATTTAGCTAAATATGGATGAACAACATTGAATTTTGACATGACACGGGGTAAGACATATCTGAAATATCCTGGAAAGTCGATTCCAAATAAAAAAGTCAGGCAATTTTTTATAAGTTTTGCCAAAGTCAAGGAATATCAGGTATTTTTTTTTACTTATTTTGCTTCTCCCTTATTTCTTTATCTTACATTATATTAATTTTCTTTATATTATTACAGCCACAAATCAATAATGAATTTTCTGCTGTTGATTTTCTCAAAGTATAAAAATATACACGAATTCACACCCTAATTCATCATTTTTTTTTTACTTCAAGAACAATTGGTCTCTGTCATTTATTTAAAGGGAACACTGAGAGAAACAAAGAGAGAAACTGTTTACCTTTTAACCATATAAAACCAACTAAAACTTTCTGTAAGCGAATATCATGTTATTTACAGTGCAGATGGCATATTTGAAGAGTCTTGGATGACCAAATGTTATTTGCATCAATTAAAAAACAACAAGCTTCACAAAATTTTGTTCCATTTGCATAATTTTGCATTAAATCAGACCTATTATTCCTTTTTTTACAATATGTAAAATAAGTATCTGAAATGAATGTGTATGTGGAAAACTACCTCACAAATAATCTTTTATATCTCCTTAAAACTGCCTCTTTTTGTAACCACTGGGAGTGACATATACAAGTGAGGTAAGATCCAAATGCAGGTTTATTTGTGGTCAGGCAAGCAATGGTCAATACAGGTGCAAACGGGGATGT